AATAAGTTAGAGAATATATATAAATTAGATTATACAATTTATTATAAAAAAAGGGGGCAAGATAAGAAAAAATATTTGACAGAAAGTTTTCTTACAAACAGTGCTTTCAATAACAAGATGATTACTTTTTTCCATAAAAGATCAAAATCGGCTTAGGCTTTAATGACGCTAAAAATATACGCTGGCGGGGGAACCAGCGAGAGATGATAAAGGAAGGTCAGTTAGCCCATTGTGATGAACACACCTGATACTAACAATTTCTCCCTCCCCAAGACAATAAGGATTAAGGTCCGTGGGTCATCGTGGGTTCAAAAAAGTATCATCATCTTCCTACCCTTATCCCAATTTATTTGGGGTCGGCGTAATATGTTTTTTATCCATATTAAAAAAAGATTTGGCTATCTAAAAGAAAATGATAACTGTAATCTGTAGACTGTAGACAATCCCGATGCGCTACCATTCTTGAAGACTGGTGTAAAATGCTTTCGTACCCTGAAATTCTACTGCAATATCCCACTATTTAAATCAACACACATCCATGCCTATATATATATATATATATATATATATATATATATATATATATATATATATATATATATATATATATATATATATATATTAGTAACGGAAGCAATGCTTTCAAATTCTGAACCGATTTGAATAATAGTTTTCATAATCGATAATTAAATGCTCTCGTGTTGGCTAAGTTCATATTTTGTTTCGATTTAGATATGTTTTATTTTACTTTTAATTATTTTATTTACTTACCCTTTTGTTGAGAGGACTGTAGATCCCAAGTAATAATTTCTACATGCTTGGACGTGTTTATAAAGGATATTTTTATTATTTAGTGCAATAAAACTACGAACTGCTGAAAACAAAAACCTGGCGATTATTTGCATTATTGATTATCTTTTGCAAGTATGCATTTTTATACAATTCATTACAATGGTAAACCAGCTAACGGCCACCTGATAAAAAGTGGTAACTATTACCTAGAGACACAAGAAACACCTTACGCTGTGATGCACAGGACATCCCTCATACGTCGCCATTTCTAAGTATCAAGACGTTACCTGCGTATCATATATTTTTCAGTAATATGCTACTCTTTCAACAAAATGTAAAAAATTAGGCAACTCGTTTTATATACTTGTTTATGACAATGAAACTAGTTATGAAAATGAATAATAATTTCGCCAGGTAGGTCTTTACAGATAGGATGAAATTTTGACAAAGATTCCAAGTAAAAACCCTAACAAGGTAAAAGACTTTGGTTGCGCCTTTCCCTGTTGTATGTATAAAAGTTTATGGATGCAGGGACTCTTCAATAACTCGTTTATTGTTACTGATATTTATTATGACTATTCGTTTGCTAATTACACGTATATCGAGAGCGAGTGAGTGAAGTTCTTGTCCATCACCGCAGTAGCAGACCGTCGAAGTCTCACTTCGCTCCGGTAACGTTTTATCCCTTTTGCTCAATAGATGGCACCAATAGCCGTTCTAATTTCTTTGAAATCGCAAACTTCTTGTGAGTCATATGATAATAAGTTATTATATACCAAATTGCTAACCTTTTTTATGCAATTTAGAATAGCACACAAATCGTTAGCTCACTTGACAATAAGTGGTTATCGTCGCTCATATACATAGTTCCATGGACGTCATAGAATTCACGCTGACGTCCATAGTATTCTTATGAGTTCCCGAAAATTAATATGTTGCTTCAGTAGCCTGTAATTTCACTGCTATCACCCATCGAGTTTAATCGCAGCCATGCTAGCTCTTCGTCTTGACGGAGTGGAACAGAGATATTTACTTAAGCAGACGACTTTTATTATCTGTCTTACCTATGTCTTCATGAGAGTTTGTCATATAACTCATTTTCCAGGCCGGCAGCAATATCGCTATTTTGATTGTTCGAATAGAGGCACAGTAAACAGGAGCCAGCGAAGTCGACCTCCTCACGATTCCCCCTAGAAACCATCGTGGTTCATTCATATGGAATTCGTCGCGATGGACTAACTGACCAGCTTTCATCCTCACCTATCATTTCTCACTGGTGCTCCGTCAGTGTTTACCGATAGCCCAGGCGAGGTTACCATTTCATTTTCACCCATAAAAAGACCATCTGTCTTGATGAAGTGAAACACAAATAATACTAACTGAGGTTATGTTCAAGTAAACAATGCCTACGTCTTCTAAACTTTATGACCTAAAATTTTAAACACGTAGATAGGTAGATATCTAATCTTTAGCAGAGATAACAATGTATGTTCAATACTGTACAAGTCAGAACTAATAAATGTGAAATTGAATTTATCTAACTAATCAACTAATCATTATGTAATTTGGCATGATTACTATTTGAGACTGATGGCATAGGCTACTTTTTACCTCAGTGACGTGCAGGAAGTTATAAGCACAATTAATGACCGTATGTGGTTTATCAAGTACTATAACTAACGTACTAGACCTATTTTTGCTGAGGTCATGGGATCTTGCGATCTCGATGATCAAGTAGATACCTACATCGTAACGATGGTCAAACATCCATAAATGGGGGGAACTACTTGTTAGTAATAGATTCTAACAGCCCCATTACTGCAATACACCCACCCTATTAGGTTGACCTTCACGCGGTTACCCCTGAAAACAGTCGTGGTTAATTCCTGTTGAATTCATCACGCTGGGCCAACTGCCCTGCTTTCATCGTCACCTATCAGCTATCACTGGTGCCTCGTCAGCTTATACCGATAGCGCAGACGGGTTTACCATTCCATTTTCACCCATTCAAAAAAGACATCCTTAGGTCATCACAGTCTAAAAAATTCACTGTATATAACTGTAGTAATAACACTATAACGTAAGTGAGTTTATTCATTTCTTTGTTACCTCTTAGTCTCAGCATCTTGAATCACCAATTTAGAAGAATTCTCGCAGTACTTGGGATGCAGTAAGTTAGGACTACCTAGCCTACTGCATCCCATTATAGGTCCTAATCCCAGTTGAAGGACTAACATTTATTCCGATGACGGGGACAAATTCACGTGTTTATACTAATACTGCGGGGGAAGGGGATGTTAGTAATGGAGAGATTAGTCTCCATTGCTATCATAATGCCCTGTCAGGTCGACCTCCACGCGGTTCCTCCTAGAAACCATCGTAACTGTCGTTGAATTTACTAACTTACCTGCTTTATTCCTTATTTATTTCTCATTTCTCACTGATGTACCACCAGTGTGGCGCAAGCAGGGTTAACATTCCAATTTCATGTATAGTACTGCATTACTGCTACAACTACACCTATCCCCCGATTTACACGGTAGATACGTTCCTGAGAAAATCGTGTAAATCGAAAATTTTAAATTTTCAATTCAAACCCGTGTAAATTGAAAAGCTTGCAGAAAATGCATAATTTTGCTATTTAACAGTTGTGATTTTTTTCAATATTTTTACGTGTACACAGAAATAAAAATAAAAATTTTCATTTGTTCTAATAGTTCTTATTGTAGCTTCGTTCATGTTATATGATTTTGCAACATCTACTACTCTATCTCCCTTTCGTAAGCGATCCAAAATTTCGATTTTAGTTTCTAAGGAAATAACTTTTCTTTTAACTTCTTTCGACATTATAAGCCTATAATTTTTTTTTAATTTATGTTAATTTATAAAAATCTTAATTATGCACTCACTTGTAATTTACGAATATGAAAAATTAAATCTTTCTGACACTGTGAAACTTTCATTCAAATACAATTTTCCGTAGATAAAACTTTAATTTTATGCGAAGAAATACAGACACAGTGTGCATGTGCAGCAAGTCAGCACATAAGCTCGGGATTCCCCGTGAGTTGTGTACACAGCGCACGTGTTCAAACATTTAGTAGAGTGCGATAAAAACAAAAAAAAACTTATTTGGAAAACCGTGTAAAAGCGAAAACGTGTAAAACAAGTATCGTGTAAATCGGGGGATAGGTGTACTAGAAATAGTAAAAATCAGAAATACGGGAATGACATAATGGGGACTGGCGACTAGTGCTAGCAATTTAACCTGTCAGATCGACCTCCATGCGATCTCTTCTGGAAACCATCGAGCCAATTGATCTGCTTTCATCCTTACGTATTATTCCTCGTTGGTATTCCGGCAGTATAAACCATATTAGCGATAGTGCAGTTACCATTCCATTATCGGAAGGAAAGGGGATAGTTAATAGTGGGTACTACTGACCCTCCAGCCTCGACCTCCAGCCTGTTTCCTCTGGAAGTCAACATAGTTATTTTTTTTTTATACAACTTAGAATGGCAAACAAGCTGACGGCCCACTTGATGGAAAGTGGTAACCGTCGCCTATAGACCTTAGAGCCCTGGACATAACAGAGTATACTGTTTCGCCCATGATACCCCCCATGCGTTGGCATTCCTGAGGACTCAGGTGTTATTTCTCTGTACCCTGTAAATTCACTGCCCTTCAAACCGAAACACAGCTATGAAAACAACTGCTTCATGGTAGAAACACGAATGCGACAGAGTTGACCAAGCAAACGGCTTTTGTACAAAGTCCCCCTCTGCTACTTTCTTTAAGTTTTACGCAATAATATACATAAAGGGTATCATGGGCGAAACAGTGTACTCTGTTATGTCCATGGTACTGCTCATGGTTATATGCGACGGTTACCACTTACCATCAGATGGGCCGTCAGCTTGTTTGCCATTCTAAGTTACATAAAAAAAGTTAAAGAAAACTCACTTGGTTTATCTGTAGCAGCATATATTCGTGATATTTTAAATACTTTGTTATCTTAAGGGTAACGAAGTACTTAAAAGGTAAGGGTGTAATTCTTTCCACAAATCCCTACACGTACTTTTTTTAATTAATTAAACCTAACTTTAAATTATGTCAGTCAGTCGTGAAAAAAAAAACACAGATCATAGACTTAATCTATGATTAAAAGTGACATGACTGTTATCGTTAATAAAAATAAACAATTAAAGAGGATTTTAATTTATTTAATGATAGTAACCCAGATGTGCCTTTGCTTTCAAAACATAATAACTAGTAATTACAAAACACTACAATGAGTTCTTTAAACTAACCTAACTAATTATAGGTAAATATATACACCAGATAAGTATTTATGTAGGTACACATAGTTTGTTTCAATAGGTATTAATGAAAATGTAGACAAAAATTGGGTAATTGATTGTATAATTTCAACAGACTTGGATACGTTTTCATTAAGTTCTTTTGAAACAAATGCACACCAAATCTCATATAAAAATATAAGAAAACTAAAAAAAAAACAATCGTTTTATAGAATGTTATGAGATTTCATATGATATCTCAAATTAAGCAAAGTTTTTTAAGGCCACATATCATTAAATATACTGTTCTGTCTGACTGAAGATTCTGTCTTACTGTAGATATATTAAATAGGTAATTTATTATTATCTTTTACTAAAACTACAGAACGCGGAGACATATTGACGCAATCGAATTGAGATCAAATCGAAATCATATATTATAGACGTCAAATGGACGTTACCTTATTTATACCTTTTATTCAACGTCTGTTCCATATGGTTTCGATTTTTTTCCTTATTCTATTACGTCAAGTTATCCTTACAGTTAATAGCACATTATAGATTTTGATAAAGGTGTTACTTTACGATAGTCCATATTACTGGATAATTGATATTAAGAAAACAAAAACAAAAACCAGCAGTACGCATACTAATGTGTAGTGGAATTAAACAAAAGTATTTTAATCAACTAATCAAATTATTATTAGATTTGTTAATCGTATTTTTTATTGTACTGTAGTTTTAGGAACTTGAATTAAATAATTACCCATTTAACATTACCTCCGTGTATTCTCACCGTTTTACTCTGAGTAATCCTTTCATACTTAGCCACGAATTAAACACTGGACTATTAATTAAAAATAATAATAATGGGTATGTGAATAATAGTTCGTCGGTTTTTTTAATATACTAGTATAAAACCTTAAATTACAGATATAATGCAAAGATAGCGCCTGACCTATCTACATATACGCAGCAAAAGAGCTGTGAAAAGAAAAATGTAATAAGAATTTTATTGAAATCGTAAATTGTGTTACTGTATCTCAAAAACCAACTTTTCAGGATGCATATTTACATAAAATAACAGATATCACTTAGTCTAACACTACAAAATTCACAGTTAATATACAAGAAGCCTAAGTTAGATTGTGCGCTGAAATCCATGCAAATCTTTACTAATATTACTATTTAGTATTTTTTTTAAAAGTTTCCCGTTTCTTCGTACGTAAGTTTCGTGCCTTACAAATTGTAATTACCTGTAGTGTGTTAGAGTTTGATCATCTGTAAACTGCAGGTAATAATAAATAAATAAATTTAGATAGTGTTTAGCGCAAAGATAACCACCCGTTGTGTAGCAAGAACTGTTCTTTAAACATGAACATGCAAAAAATGAGTGGAAGTAAAATAAACATTTAATAACAAATTCGCTTTTAAAACAAATCTGTAACGGCATAAAACAGTATTTGATGTTATTAAAATAATACAGTATCCACAGTAAAATAATTCGGGACGCAAGAATGCTATGAACTATTTAGAATACCATATTTTTATTTTTGTATATATTTTTGATTTTTATATAATACATATGTAATAAATAATATATAGATATGAACGCCTACAAACACCAACTGTGTTAGTTGGTATGTACACTAACACCAATATCAAAGTGTATTCACTTGGTTAAGTTGTAAGCGAACCCCGTGCGAATCCGGGGCGGGTCGTGACCCGCACAATGTAGAAACTGATGTAGTGTCATAATCACTATCACTTCATAATACAAAACAAAGTCCTCCGCCGCGTCTATCTGCCTGTATGTTGGCGATGATCTCCAAAACTACTAAATACATTTTCATACGATTTTTATTTGTGTACACAGTGATTCCTCGATACGGTTTTGTGTAAATTAGTTAAAATATAAGGATGATTATCTTATGAATAAAGTGTTTTTGATGACCCATCATCGAAAACACTGCCTGTTCCATTTGAGATAAAACAATGTATGATAGGATTCTATCTCTATTATAGATCTACGTAAAAAGTCCGGGATGACATATGTTTATCTTTTGAAGACATATATATATATATATATATATTTGTTTTTACCCATTCATTAATAACCGCTATAAAGCGCGCTTATCTAAATCGACTACAGGTAAATTAGATCAAGTTCTTGCGTCACCTCGCTACATGGTAGGTACGCAATGACCTACCATGTACGCGGATTTCTACCGCGACTTCAAATTCCCCACGATCAAGCAATTCATAAAATAGTGTCGACACTACTTCGTTGCCAAAATTTGACAACCCTCCTCTCCTTCTTTCGCAAAATTTCGACACGCACACAAGCACACTCGCAAAAAGGACACCTTCCCTGCCGGCGGAGACGACGCCCCCATCACGCCGTTCCTGCAGCGTCAGATACGTATCTTAGCACATCTCGTCCACACCTCCCCCCTTAAATATAACCGACCTTCAATTCCTCGACAGGGTTCGTAGTACGGCAACCTAATCTAGGATCTGAATCGCTCTGATGACCTTGGGCATACGCCATAACCCATCGGTAACAGTTGACACTTTGTCGCTCCCCTCTTGCGGTCTTGGAATGCCTTCCACACACGTATCTATTCTGCAAAGGAATTGTTAGTAATGCGGACTACCAGTCGCATTGCTAAAAATATACCATGTCAAGTCGACCTCCACGTGGTACCCCCTGTAAACCATTGTGTAGAATTCCTGGTGTATTCATTACGATGGCCTAACTGGCCTGCCTTTTCATTTCATCTATCATCAATTACTGGTGCCCCGACAGCGTATACCGTTAGAGCATGCGGGGTTACCATTACATTAAAAAAAGTACGCATTCTATGAAGCTGTATAAGTCATCAGCGGATAACACATTTAAAGGCTCGCGCCGTAACTCTGCCAACCGGATATGATATATATTAAATGGTGTAGTGTAAAAGGTAATTACAATTATTTAATTTGATAAGGACAAAGTTTTCATTTAAATAGTTTCGAAAGCTCCACATAATTTGTATTCATTTTTTAAATACAAAAATTGCTAAAGAAAGCTTTCTGTATAATATAGATACATGCCCTCGCTTTTTTTGACCCCAATAAAGAGAAACACTTCTACTATACTACATACATCATATTGTTATATCTTAAACGGATTAGACAGCTTGATCGATGAACGCTCTCAGGCGGTTTAATGTTTTCCGACATTTTTAACAATCATCGTTATATTTCAATCAATTTCTACAAATCCTAACCAAATACATAATTAAATCTACCTAAGGAATTCCTCCATTGATAAATGAATATAGCATAAAAATTCGTTGAGTAGTTTTTAAGATTATCGCGAATATACAGACAGACGCGGGGGGGATTTTAGTTTTATAAGTAATTTTCTTTTTTTATTTATTTTCACCATAAAAACCAAATTCACAACTAAATGAAATATCATTATTGTTATTTTTTTTTTAATATTCTTTTTTTATAATTATGATAATTTCATTAACAGATTTTCAAACCTTGAATTAAAAAAAGTATTGTATTGGAAAACCACGAAAATTAATTACATTATGTGCTTACTGGATCGATTATATTGGATCCTTGAGAAAACCGTTGCACTTGCCTTTGTATGAATGTGTAGTATTTTTTTTTTTATTTATTAAACGCGTATATTATAGTTTATACTGATTTTTTTATTTCAGCTAGTTTTATTATAATCTCACCTGATCTTAATTGACGATGAGATCTAAAATGTTACACGCACACTCAAATGAAGCCTATACACTCTAGCATTATAAAACCCCATCTTCATTCGGCGTGTTTGTTTTTAGATCACGCCGGAAGAGAATTCCACTCCTTGATTGTTCGTATAAGAAACGACGAAATCAACACTACCAAGCACTTAGTTTTATCGTTCAATAGGTAGAATGTCAACCGTATAAGGATGAAAAAATCCCTGCGCCTCATTGATAGGATACTAGGTACAATACCAATAAACAAACCATCATACGGCGAATAACGAAACTATGGAACTTCTTAATAATAAGTGCCTCATCTTCTATGAATCTTTTTGCACGTCGATCAATAGAGCCCAGAGTATTAAACTGATATTGAGCAGATCCATACCACAACTGAGGAAAATACTCCATGCAAGACCGGACTTTTGCTTGGTAAAGTGTTAAAAGTTGTCCAGACGTGAAGTGACAGAGGGCATTTGGTAATGCTTGTTGACGCACCAAGCATTATCAAACGCTCGCTGGATATCCAAGGTGAGCATAACGGCTATGCCTTAACTTTAACGTTATCACTAATTTTTTAAGGCATTTGACAGTGCATCTTCGGTGCCTCGCTTTGGAATAGCTTGGAGCTTGGAAAAGCTATATGGATTTGGCTGCAAGGAGCCTTTGTTTATAAAATACTAAAGCAGTTAACTTTTCCCATAAGAGGAAGGGGACCTTTAAATAAGTATAACAGTTATTACCAGCCTTTGGGATAATTTTAATGAATGCTTTCTTCCAAATTAAAGGAAAATAGCTTACAAAAAGATATTAATTGAATACGGCCAACAAAGATGTCTCGATGGATTTCATGTGTTTTTTGGTAGATGTCCACTGTAAACCCGTCCGTTCGGGCTACTTTCTTAGGTTTTATAACTATCAGTGTTTTATAATATAATTCGTATTTTGTGAATGAAGTTTTTTTATTCAACAACTATGGGAAACAAGCAGACATGTAACCTCCATGCGGTGCCATTATTGAGGACTAAGGTGTAAATTCACTGTCATATCCCATCCTTCAAACCGAAACACAGCCATGCGAACACAACTGTTTCACGGTCGAAATACGAATGGGACAGACGTATGCAAGCAAATAACTTTTAAACAAAGTCTCTCTACTTATTTGTTTATTTGTGATTGGTTTACTTTTTATTAATGAATTTATTCCTTTATCTTATTGCATTATTTGAGTGTCATTAGATGAATCGTCTATTAGGAAGAATGTATCAGCTAGGAGTGACAGACTCATTAGATGATTCCATTTTCATCTGTAAGCAGGTTTACACGTATGTTTTTCGCACTTCTCTTCGAGATCCTATAGCTTCTTTCTCACATTATTTATTTTTCTTCTCCTATACAGAACTTTTCCAATTATGGTTACTAGCTTTTACACAAGACTTTGTCCGCATGACTGAGATATATTCACTAACCAGGAGAAAAAATAGCCTATAACATCTCCAGGGTCCTATCTATCTCTATACCAAGATTCTGCAATTACGTGAAAGCGAAACAAATAAATTCACTTTCGCAATATTAATATTATTTGAGGTCAGCAATTGTTCTTTAATATTATTCTGTTTTATTTTGCAGATGATGGGGATGATGAGGATGTATACAATAAGCTATTAGAGTTCAGCCTTTAATTTTTCTATTATCTTTCTGGTTTTGTTTTGAGTTTGAGGTTTCTAAGTCTTGGTGTTTTTGAATATTTGAGATTGCATTTGGATTTATATTTTTTGCTGTTTGTTGGACTTTCACGGTTTCCTGGAACATGGTCGAATTTGCATTTGCTATACTGTAAGTACGTGTTGAGGTGGAGTTAGCGTATCAGTTTAATAATTTCTGTGTAAACCAATAGCAAAAGTCATCAGTATATGATCAAAGAGAGAGCAAAGTATTGGATTCCCATGCCAGTCTGTAATCTGAGAAGGTGGACGGAGCAAGTTATAATATCAATGATGCTGGGTTAGTGTTACCCTTGTCAATAAACATATAATGTTGACTGTGTATCTTCATGTAATACTTTCATGTTTAGTCGGAAGATAATATATATAAGACGAAAGTCTTTAACATCATCTGTATCGCATCCAACGACTAATGGCGTTAATGTTTCCAATAATAATAAAGTTTGATGTATCTATAGAACAATAATTGTTAGCACCTAGATAATGGAATCTTCAATATTAAAAGTCTTGTCCAAATAGACGTCAATAAACGCAAAACGGCAATATCTTATTTTTATGGCGACTACATTTTGAATTGTCTACTCCGGGTTTTCAATTATTTCGATTTCAGGATTTAAAACTGCAACAACAGATCTAACTAGTTGACCATTATTTGTGAGAAGTTTTCAAACGACTCTGTTTTTCCAATAATTTTTAGACGGTCCTGTGTTGGGTGGGCGTCATGCGCTCTATCTGTGTCGTTGTGCTTAGCAATACTAATATTATAAATATAGCGGCAATATTAATAATATAGCGGCATTTCTAGCTGCTTGCTTTTTGCACTCTTCCTATGTGGTCGTTTTGAATTGCAGCTCATGGTAACTTTTTATTTTGGTGACTCGATTTAAACCTATACTTATTAATGTTGACACTATTTATGACCTGCTTTATTACGTCATCGCCGTTTTGACGTGGATCTACAGATTTCAAGAATATTTCAAAGTTTGGTCTGGCAGTGAAAACTGCGTAACTACGCGGCCGCTTATACTTTTTTCGTTTGAGGAAATGGGTGGTCTGATTTATTTATCATGGGAGCATACCATCTAAGGCTTACGTTATCCTTGGACTTAATAGTTTTAATTCCAAGCTTAAGCAGGCTATATATAGGGCAAAATAATGTTTTAAATAGAACCGATCTTGGGGTACCTTGGCACTGGTATCTACAAGGTCTGACGAGCAATCGCCGATGACAACTCTTATTGATCGTCCTTTGCAAAAGTTACGTAATCAGGTTCTCGGAAATTGAGAAAGAAGAAAGCGTTTCAATAAAAATGGTTATGCCAAACCTTGTCAAATGCAGTGAGAGAATTGTTAATTCCCTTTACTACCTACCCCTAAGTAGTAATGGGAATTAACAATCCCATTGCTAGCAATATACCCTATTAGGTCGACTTCCATGCAGTTCTTCCTGGAAAATATTGGGATTGATTTATTGTCATAATAGGCCAACTAACCTGCTTCATCGCCACCTATTATCCCTCACTGATGTCCTGGCAATGTATATCGTTAACGTAGACGGAGTTGCCATTCCATTATCATTTACTAAAAAAAATAAACCCTGTCAAATGCCTTAGAAACGTACAGAGATACAGCGAGAGCCTCATCGTGTCTCTCAATTGCTTCTCCCCAAAGGTGAACTCTAGAACACTAAAAGATCTTCTGGTCACACTTTTAAACATTGCGGATTTTTTACAAAGACATTCATGTCAAAATCTTTAATAATCGATTTATATATAAGTTATCAAATTGTGTGAAACACGGCCACATCAACTAATATTGTAAAAAGCAATCTTTGTAATGTAAAAAAAGGCCAGGTTCGACATAAATTGGAAAAAGCAGTACGATTTTGCTTTTTACAAATTAGATGTTAAGAATTAGCGGTGCTCGAGTTAAATAAAAAGAAGCCATCTAAGGATGGGTATCTAATTTAATGAGATTGTTCTTTATTCATTTATTCTTTAGCACATGTATGTGTACAAGGCGGACTTCATACTAAAAGTATTTATTGATTTATATTTATTTGCATTCTCCCCCAATCAACCTTAAGGAAGTGTCGGAATACACGAATACGGTACTAGTAATAATTGATATACATATAAAGTAAAAATTAAATATATAAACAAATAAATATATATATATATATATATATATATAAATTATTACTATTAAACACTAGAACGCACTTTCGCTTGACATAAGTTCTACTCTAAGCAAACTAGCTTTTAAACGTAAATTGTGCTCCTATTTCTAAAAAAAATCTTTCCCTTTAAACTTAATTGTGCTGGTTACTGTTTAAATCATAGATTGTTATTTGCTCTTCCATTACAGTTAATTGTTTAATATAGTAGTATTTTATGTATTTATTTATGTATGTATTTATTATACGTACATATTTATTTAATATATTGTGTATGTTTATATTAGTCTAATAATAAGTTTATAATATATGAATATATCAAGTATTGCTTTATTTTTCCTCTTTAATAATGCACCGCATACTTATTTCTCGGTCTGCCCAATGGTTGACTGGTAGAAAACACCATCCAATGTTAAGTCCGCCAAATGTACGTAGAATTTTACTGTGCATTAAAGTTTAAATCAATAAATAAAATATAAACAACAAATATACTTACACATATATAAGATATACTTCACACGAAGCTGAGAATAATAATTGGTACTTACTGTTCGGATAAAGCATTGAAGTAAGTATAAACTTTTCTTTTTTTGAAAGACGGTTGTCGGGAGTCTCTTAATAGAATCAGGGAACACGTTCCAGAGCCGTGAAGAGTTTAAGATAATTTTAAAAGAAACTAGTACGATAAGAGTAGATAGAGAGTTGGAGAGTATCGCAGGAACTTAGGGTACGGTCGATAGCTTGAAAAAGATACTGGAAACTGCTGCTTAAGTACCTGGGAGACTACAGGTTTCGAAAAAGATTAAAAAGGGTACAGAGAGTCCTAATATTTCTGCGTTGACGAATGGTAAATCATTTGAGCTAAGACCAATAGAAAAATATTATATAAGGTTAAAGATAAAGCGTGTGGCTTGGTTGACGAGACGGTCCAGCTTTTTTAAAAGATTTCATTGTGATCAGGATAACATGCATCAGCATAATCAATAATAAGAAAAATTAGGGCATGAACAAGACTAATTTTTGTAGCGGTAGGCAAAAAGTTCTTAAAGCGGCATAAGATGCGCAGAGTAGCAACAACTGAGCGGCTCACCTCCGCAACTTGATGTGACCAGCTGAGTGTTGAATCTATGTAAAGGCCAAGATCTTTAACGCTAGTTTTCAAGTGTATATCTAAATTATATATGATTGTCCCTATTTGTTAACATTCAGTTAAACTAGTTGTTTAAAACTGCCAATCAAAATTGTCTGACACTTAGAAGGGTTAACAACTAATTCATATTTTGACGACCATACCAGAATGTTATTTAGATCAATATTAATATTCGCTACAGCTTGATTGAGATCATCTACAGTAGTTTGAGTATATGTCTGAAGATCATCTGCTTTAAAATGGTAATGGCAGCCAAGAACAAGAGAAAGAAGATTAATAAAACAAAACTGTAAAAGTTAATACACATCATGTAGCTTCTCTTATATATTATTATAGAAATACAGATTAATCGCATAAATATTGAAAGGAGGCTAACCTCAAAATAGTAATTTATGTAATTTATCAGAACAGCACTTCGATAGCCCTTCATCCACAGGTAATTACTAATAAATAAATTTAGCAATTAATAAATACTATAAGATCGCTTCGCTTTATTACGATTACTTTCTAATGGCTAGATGCGTTAAATGTACTTTTTTCTAACAAACAGCACACCTAAAGATTAAAAAGCACTCTGCAGTGGCAACTATAATTTTTATTGCTCGCTAATAATTTTTAATCCCAAGTGCAAAAATTTCCTTACGTCGTAAACATACCATTTAAACGCTAATATAATGCATATATAATATGAATAGAACCAGTTTAAGACAAATGTGAATAGACTATTTTTGGGCCCGCGAGCTGCATCTCAGACCATATCATCGCTTTTTATCAGGTGAGATCGTGATCAATAGAGGGACCTTATAATAGTAAAAAAAGTCATGACACATTTCGATTCGCTCACACAGAGTCTTTGTTCTTTTCTATATCATTACTCACACATAGCACCACTTTCGAACCAGCCGTATAAAGAAAATAAGAGAAAAAAATCTCAACACTTCAGTTTAACAACGGCTCCCATTTTCAACATTTTTACTGCGTTATTTCAACTCTTTTTTAAACTGGCATTTATTTGGATACATAGATAAAAATAACATCTTGCTTTTTAATACTTAAAGTAATAAACAAGCTGATGGCTGATGTGCAGTGATAACCGTCGCTTATAAAATAATAAATATAATAAAAATATATAGTCACCTATAAATACACAAATGATAAACAAAATTATCTGTAGATACGCTTTCGTTGCTATAGCTTAACATACAACATTTGTTATCTTATTCTATTTCAAAGTGATTCTCTCTGTATAGATGTATTAACTATTTTTCTAGGCAATTTCTAATATATAATTAATAATATATCTAAGTGTACAAAATCTTATGTATTATATTAATACAATACAATACAGTATACTAATATATTAAATGGGCAAGTGGTTATCTTAAATTATAAAATAATCTACCCAAATAACTGAAAAGTATAAATAAGATTTACACAAAGTCCAAACGAAGGCACCACCAACGTATGTAAACATTTTCAATCCATAACCAAAAACCTGTATTTTATTATAACATCCACTTTTCCATAATACCGATGTCCATTTCCCCTATTTTTAATTACTGGTTCTATTTACTTGGCTTGTTCGCTTTGTTTTTGTCAGAAATAAGCTACATCACCTGGCTGACTTCTGTATTATTGTAGTTTCTAAGAAATATGCTATTTTACATAAAGCAACTATGTATAAAAACGTTTCAAGTATAAAAATTCATGTAACAAGCAACGATTTAAAGAATTTTGTGGTATACAAAAATAGTTAATGCTGTACTTATAATAATAATATATAGCAAAACATCCATAGATTAATAAATAAACAATGTGCAAGCATTGACAGAAAAATAAGAGTTATATACTCGGTATGTACTTTTCTTCATCTGGCTGGTATATGAATTGCATGCAAAAGTTTATTTCATTTGATTAAATTTGATATTTACTAAGTCTTTTTTATATTGCTTTTTAATATTGCATTCAAATGGAAATGTTTAAAGTATGTCATCTTCATCATCATATCAGCTGTTTGCCGTTCACAACTGAACATAGGCCTCCCCCATAGACTGCCATAAAGAACGGCCCTGTACCTCCTGCATCCATTAACAACCTGCAATGTATTTGAGGTCGTCACTCTATCTAGTGGAGGGTCACCCTACACTGTTTACCCGTATGGAGTCGTCACTCAAAAGCCTTCCTTTTCCAAAACATGTAATTAAGTGAAAAATGCTAGATCCTATTTTTCTAATTTAAGTTTTATTCATATGTAAAAATAATTAATTACAACTTATTTATACTCCCACCAAATTTATTAGGTGTATGACATACTTGTCTATCTCGCTGTAACAAGTATGTTATGTTTTCTTTATTCTTCTTTTATATTACTAATCTATAAATTTTATAATCGAATACAAAACTAGAAAAGAATTATTACACTATAACATTCATAACATGATTCTTTCACTTTTTAGATGCTTTTGGTAATACATCAATATCTTCTCCTATCAATGTTATAATGCGAAAGTTTGTAAGCATGGATGCTGGAATACTCTTTCACCCAAAAACTATTGAATGGATTTGAACAAAGTTTAGCACACAATTAGTTTATATCATGACTTAGAACATGTTAGAATACTGTATGCACATAACGATTCAGGCAGCCAAAGCCGCGCGATACAGCTAGTTGTTAAAGATTGCAGGATCGTGAAATCCATTAATTCGCATTTAGTAATAGCACATACTAGTATATCATGTGGTTTGTATTACGACGATGCCAGAATTTTAATAAATATCGCAGTATTCGCACTCACGCTCGCTGGCTGCGAACATGATGGGCGACGATTCGTGGGCGCAGTATGCCTGCAATGGTATAAAGGTGTGACTTCACTTATCTCGAGATGGGCTAAGGGAAATTCATTTCGCTTTAGCTTGCATACAACTTATGTGAGCTAAGCACAGCTATGCAAATTAGATTAGGTTATTAGTGTGAACTAGATGTGTAATAGTTTACCAAAACTATTATGGTAAAAAGAAAACCATTGAGAATTAAATATAAAATAGCTCTGATGCAACTCTATTAATAAATTAGAATTTTATTACAAAAAATAACACTAGTTATTATAAATTGAAAAGTAAAATACCAAACCGATCTTGATGAAATTTATGTACGACCAATCTGAAAGTATAAATCTTACAGATAAAAAAAATATCCAATTCCGTATACAAATGTCGGAGTTCAGAAGTAATGAACATAAAAAAAACAACTGACATCCTCCACCTTTTTTGAAGTCGGTTGAAAATTTACTTTTTATAGATCCTTAGAACAAACAATTCATTGTAAAATAAAATTTTAATTTTAAATATAGAGAATGGTGTTTCTGTGTTGACTGCATTGTCGTGAGTGACTCCGAGGCAGTGTCTTGTAGTTAAAGTGAATTGAAATACATTAAAAAATAAATAAACAAACTTCAAAAAAGATGATAGAAAAACAAATAACTAAATATAAATTGATTACCTATTATAAACTAATACGTACTAATTAAAAAAGTATATGTGCTACATACTGATTTGTTTGAAGTCGTAATCCTCTTTTGAAGTTGGTGTAAAAAATCGCAGCAGCTGTGCGCACTAAGCTAAACAAAGTTCGAATCGTACAGGTATAAGTGTAGTCTTAACTTCAGTCTCTTGTTATATTATAGATTTATATTATACTAGCTTTTCAACCACTGCATCGTACGCGTGGATTTCAGAAGTAGGTATAAATAGTAAAGAAGTACAAATGAGTCAACTTCTAGATGGAGGATCAAGATGAAACTATGTCATTAACTAGATTTTAAGTTAGACTATTAGAAATACAACTGTAAAAATCGCATCCAAATTGGTGTAGTAGTTTTTACGTTGTGCCGGGACAAAATATACTAACATAACAGCATACAAAATTTCTAAAAATATTGTTTTAGCATCTATTGGTCTTATAAAGACATCCCATGTTATTTTTTTTTTAAATATCTTCCAAGTACCTACCAGACATCGTCTAGTTACAATTTGATTATATTAGTAAGACTTTACACCGACTCGACACCTTAGATCTGGAGGGAAAAGTATTGTTAATAATGGGATCTAACAGCGCCATAACAATATACCCTAAAAGTTAGACTTTCACGCGAATCCCCCTTGAAAACTTTCGTGGTTAATTTTGAAATCGTCGCAATGAACTGAGTTACTTTTATCGAACCTAAAATCTCTCATGGTGCACTGCAAGTGTATACCGATAACATAAACGGGATTACCATTCCATCGTCATCCATTAAAAATAAAACACCTTAATTCTGTATACAAAAATAACCTAACTAATACTTCTGTATAATGAGTCCGTAACATGAACCTATATATGATCATAACCTTCTTAACTCCTGAAAAAATATAATCGCCCAGCTTAAAATAATATATATAAAATATATAATACATATAAAATTCATTAAATACTTAATAGTATTAGAGCTTGAAATCTAATAATTTTAGAAATTAAGCTATTTCGCTCAAATTGGTACTAAAACCATAGACAAAACAGTAAAATTTTTAAAAGTTTGTAATAAGACCCTGGATACCGACAAAAAAGGGAAGACTTGAGAAAAGGTACGTAGATTTTATTCTACAAAAAATAACCGACTTCAATCGTAAAAATCCGTAATTAAATTTAACTTCGTAAAAATTAAACTACTGAACGGATTTTGATCAAATTTCTATGGTACCAATGTGAAAGTATATCCTTTCAGATAGAAAAGAACTTTCCATATTGGTTTATATTTATTTATTAGACTGGTTAGTGACGTTCATACATTAAAAAAAAAGATGATAACCTCTTCCTTTTTTGAAGTCAGTTGCAAAAGGATTGAAAGGAAACGAGTTAAATCTTTGTTCAATAATAGGATAGTATAGACATATAACAATTAAATATCATTTTAATGGAAAGAAAATATATTAAATGACAGTCTTCGTAATTTATTTAATAAACTACTAACACGTGTATAAAATTTTCAAAATATCTTGTTCTAATTAACAAACAAAAATTGACGTCTAATCTCAAGTAATGAAAAGATATATATTTATGCAATAAAAGGACACTGGTGGAAATACGTATAGAAGCATATTATGAATCGTCTGATATAGATTTTGAAGAAACTGGCATAGATAAAAAAAATCTATAAGGCCAATTTGTATCAAAGGCAGTTTTTTTTCTTACTTTAATAATTTACACATTTAAAAAATATAAATAGAATTGTTAATTCTATTTATATTTTTTAATAGGCATTATTAGTTTTACAGATTATTTAAACAGAATTGCTAGCAGTTTAAGAGTAGAAACCATGTAATGCCACGGCAAGAACACAATGTCACGGACGGCAAAGACTAGAACGTATACTTTACACAGTTTCTGTGTTCTTAAACCTACCTATCTACTACATCATTATATAAAAATATTTAAATAAATAGCCCTCCCTTATCGTCATATTTATCCTGGTTAACTGCTTTATCATTTTAAATATTCATATACATAGAATCACAAAAAAAAAGACTGGATTTATAGTCTCGTACAAAAATTAATATTAACCATAATTAAAAACAAGTTATTAAAACGGACATACATGCCAGAATCATAAAAGTGAACCATAAGGTATTAATTTTGGGTCAGTAAAATTGATTAAAAAATTTAGAACATTCTAATGATTTTGATTCAAACCGCTTTAACTAAATATCGACATTTGCAAAACGGTGTCCACAGAGTGTCTGGAGCCCGTAAGTCCGATGAAAATCAGCTCTTAAGTGACCTCACAGTTTAAAAACTCACATATTATTTTATTTTATTGTATATTATATTAAATTTATCTATTAAATATTACTATTTCATCTCGGTTTCTATTACATTCTTGTTACTGCAAGTCTTTTTTGCATGGGATAAGTATTTATAAATTATACTTATACCCAAAATATAAAAACTTATTTTTTCGCATTAAATACAATATTTGAAAATTTATATAGACATTGAGAAATTTGACAGCAAAGTTATTGGTTAGTTGCATAAATTATTGCTTAGTTGGAATAAGTGAATGCACAAATTCATTGTATATGTTTTTTTTATAAATAGAAGGTTTGTTTTCTTTCTAATTTCTCAACGACATACCATTTATATGCAGAAACAATATTATATATTAAAAAAAGATCACTCCTTGTCGCTTAAAATGGGATATATTACACTGCCACATATATAGAATTAAATAAATATGATTCACATTAAATGTGATCTCATTGGGTTATGCCTAAATTACAGATTAATTAATTAATTAATTATATTTTTCTAATAGTGAAAGTATATCATTAGCTCAGTATATTGAATATTATTCAACATATTAGATACTGCAATATACCCATAAAACATAAGAGCAAGCACTTTTCGTAAATATACACCAGACAGTTGTTCTTGTTTTCTTGTGTTTTAGTGTATACTGCCTGTGTTGGACACACAGGCAGTATACACTATTTATAAATTGCTAGTAAGTTCTCTACATCTACTCATTTACATATAAAATTGCAATTTGGTATGTAAAGTGCTACTTTAGCTATTTATCATAGTGTCACTGAAACTCAAATTTCCATTAAAACCATAACATTAGTCAGTTCTAAACTGTCAGAAATTAATAATAGTAAAAATAAAACATCAACGACTAATTATTTCATCAATATGTTATACATATTTACATAACCATCATGCCAAATGCTCCGTTTTAAACTGATCTCTTTCACTTCCTCCACAGTCATCAAGCTATTCATACAAGAGCGGTGGTAACAAGTACTTTTAATTCGGCTCTTCATCAGCCTATTTGGTTGAGATATTTCATCCTAAGGCGACCACTAACGACTTCTCTATTCATGCTCGATCTCTTTTATAATTCATTTCATTAATATAATTCTTTCATCCATCCTCTCTAAATAACCAAACCAACACAACCATCAATCAATATATTATATATTTTATATAAAAGATAATATCGACTACCCTGTACGTAATAGAAGCATCGCTGGGGATTTATCACAGAATACTACTCAAATAAAATTATTACACAAATAGTAATGCACTTACAGGAACATTAAACCATTCTATTCTAATCTAAAAATTACAGTAACCACCAATATCACTTTAGCTTTATGTGCACGCACGTATCACGGATTCTACCCGACTGATTGAACACAAATAATGTAAAATACAATGTATTTAGGTGTGTATTTGTAAATGACAAATATGTATTTGTTATGCAAAACTCAGGTATATACGATACAAAATCGCGTGAAAGCGATAATATCCTTACGACTTGAGTGAATATAATAATCACACTAAATATAGAGTATATGTGATTTATTTCTCGTCATGCAACTTTTTCATCCGTCCATGCGTCTGTCACAACGTTACGTAGAATTAACAAAAAAAAAAATTACATTATAACATATCCTATGTTATTTTAAAACCAATCAGAAAACATGGAAAAGTTCCCCTTATGTACGTAGTTCGCGACACGATAATCATAAATAATTAGTTTATAAAGCTATCTGTAAATATCACGGATAAAGGAAAACAACGTTTCTGACTAAAATTTTTTAAGAAATAAACTCAGTTATACAATTTAATTTTAAACCATATTATAGCTCAAAGAAATTCTTAATTACAATAGTAATTGTTAGCAGTTTATTTCATGTAAGAAACAATATGGCTGCGTACATTTAAATAATAATCTCAGACTCTCATGTACGTGTATGTATGTGTACATATTGATGTAATGATATGTATACATCTATAAACACACATACAGTATACGGATCACTCATATATATTTTTATCTAAAAAAATTATATACATGTAAGGAACTCTCAACGAGTGAGTTGAATTAAAGTTTTATTTATCGTATTCCCAAAAAACCGATAACCAAAATGAACTGAACGAATTTTTTCATACATCTCTTTGTAAACAATGACGGTCATCATTCATAGATATTTTTCCATCTGACAAACAACAAACAATCTGACAAACCTCAATCTCAATCTAAATCCTCAATTTACGTCTAACATTTAAATAGTTTAAATTAAATTAACATTTTTAAATAGCATCTCCTACACACTATTTCAGTTATTATACATTTAACGAGGTAGATAATAGTGAATATTGTCTTTCATTTCTAAATATCAGATCAGTCCATAAATTCGTGCGCATTTTTTGGTAAATTTTTAAATTATATATAAATACACACACACATTTTAACATTTTAATCAATTATACGAGAGCTGCCTTTTAAATTGTATCATTTGAAATATCTATTTCACGGTATGTCATTTAGGATCTTCGAGGATTAGCTGCCGCACGACTTCGACATTCTTTTGCGACATGGCGGTTTTTGGATGACCTTCACGTGGCTTGTCACTGATATTAGAGTGTCCACGTTAAAATTCTAAATACCAGCGATCTACAGTCCTAAGACATGGGCCATGCATCACTAAACACAGAAGCGATCTCCTCAAAGCACTGAAGTCGCGATAATTCCCTTTGAAAGTTGTAGAAAATTATGGCATGCAAATTTTCCTTAGATATTTTCATTTTTACAACTGACAAAGGTGACACCTTTGAATAGACGATACAATAAAACAATTCGACCAATCTGAAAACATTATTTTGTTTTCGAAATCTAAATTTAAAAATATGAAAATGCCATATTTTTTTTTTTATAATCGTGGGAGGTTGGCAAACGTCACGACTTAAAAGGCAGCCCTTGTAAACGGGTGATTATTATTAAATAAGAATTATTAATTCTTATTTATTATATAAATTAATTAAGCCTTCATTAATGAATAACATTAGTAAATAAACATTTTAAATTACAAAATGAAAGCTGTCAAGTAGCTTCTTAATCTAATCTTAACCATTAATAGATTTATTTTTAAAATCAGTCTTTTTTGCTAAAAATACAAAATGTCTATTACTTGTCATAATAGACAAATTTAAACAACAGTCGCAAAGCAAACGCTCAGCACAATGTCATATATCAAAAGATAGAAACATTGTATAGTATGTATAAAAATAATGCTTACAAATATTTTTATTATCACACCTGTGTACATTCAGGCACTCGTATCACTATTGCTGTAGGTGTCCGGACCCGATAGCATGACTTTTAATACTGCGGTGAGCCAATTCTTCTTTTTTGATAACTTAGCTATATTCTCATCTAGCGCCTTTGTGGATTTTAGTAAAGCATCCCTTTTCGCCAGTTGTTGCTGATACCTGAAAAATAACAGCGCCAACAAATACTTCATAATTTGCATTATCACATCAATGTACATTCAAGTAACAAATTAGTCAAATACAAATACAAGACAGTACTATATTTTTAACATATATTATGAAGTCATTAACATATGTTATGAAGTTTTAGGGCAAATTGGCTGCGACACACGGACGGGCAAACAGGCACGAGAGTAATCCAATAAAGATTGCATTTTTTCCTTCTTAAGTATAGAACCTTAAGTATTGTTCTTATATTGAAAATATTTTGCTAATTTATTATTAAATTATTCTTATTATTTAATGTTTAGTTATAAAGCTGAAAATTAAATCATAGAAATCGAATTTGATAATAAAATTAACTAAACTATGTACTATTTCAATAGAATTTAATAAAAATATAATTAAAAATTGTTTAAATAATCACAGAAACTTTTAGTAACAAATCGAAACATCAAATAAATTAATCGATTTTTCATTTGTACTACTATCTGACAATATGCCTGTCTTATGCTCGGGTCGTTTATTCGTTTATGTACATTTCCATTAAATTTAATTGAAGCGAACCATATAATTAAAAACTGAATAATTTAAAAGTACCTTATTTTATAAACTTCACAACCGAGACATTCCTCTGGTGTAGGTTCATTATCAAACACTACGGTAGCAGGCACTGAAATTAAATGAACAATTTATACTCGTCAAGCTATATTATTAAAGATGCTACTAATAATAAATATACTATAAAAGATATGAATAAATTTTAGTTTCTTTTTAAGATACTTTAAATAGAAAACACTGACTAATCCAAGTAATAGAAAGTGGTAACCATCGTCTATAAATATGAACAGCACCACAAACACCTCAGAGTGCACTATGATGCCATTGGTACCTCTAAAGAGTTGCCATTGTTGAGGATTACAGTACGTTATGTCTGCGCACCCTGTATTGTCATTGCCATAGGGTGGGAATCCTTCACATAGAAACATAGCCATGTGAGCATACCTGCTTCATAGTAAAGACGTGGCAAGAACAGAGGAATACATGCAAGTGACTTTTAAGTATGCTATACTTGCTAATCCTTATTAATATTATAAATGTAAAAGTGAGTCCGTTTCTTCATTTGTTACCTGTTCGCAACTTTACGGCTTAACCAATTACTATAAAATTTGGTATACACATACTACATACTAAATAAATATGAAAGAGTTTATTTATTACAGCTTGGAGAGTGAATGGCTCAACCAATTTTTATTAAATTTGGCACCCACATTGTAGTTAAGATGGAGAATGATATACTCATAGCCTACGTTATATTCTAGTGACGCAAGCAAAATCATGATTAAAAACTAGTATCGAAATTTATTTTTTACAATCCACAAGGTCAAATGATGGATTTAGTATCGATACAATAAAACAACACTAAGAAATAATGAAAATTTGCTTACAAAATTTATAAATATATAAACTAAGTCCTTCTTTTGGAAGTAGTTTATAAATAAATGACGTATTGCGTATTTTAGGTAGTGTTTAAGTAATCAGATATAAAACAGTTTACTATATTGCCCATGAATGCAGCCGGGATGGCAGATTGTTGGTACAAACGTAAGCACAAAATACGCATCTTAAAACCAAACTAACAATACGATATGCAATACTCAATATTATAATATACTCTAACCGACTATATTTACTTAACACGTCAATATCCTTGTTTTCTTATCTCGCTCTGACATATATGTTATTATGTTTTTTCTCTTTTACATTGCCCATCCACATATATATTTTAAAATCAACAAGACGATTTTAAAAAATATATAAAAACTTGTTTTTACAAATGTTTTAAAGAAACTTATTAAGAATAAGTACAGCATTGAACAACATCTTAAGTTACAGTTAGGTACAAAAAAAAGTACCCCATACCCATCTGCCATAAACTAACACGGAAATAAACCGCAAAAAATTCAGGGTCTCACTACACAGGTACACTGATTTCCCTACTTTTGTTAGCTTGCTTTATGTCTTAACAATATACACGGGCATTTTGTGATCGGTTTTCAATAAATGCTTGTAAAAGGGCATTCATGTTCATTCTTGTCATCCTCTTCAAATGTTTTCATTAGATATTTGGGTTACGGGTATTCAGATTAATAATATAATTAGAACAGAAGTAGAATACATCACAAATGCTAAATCTTCTTATGATACTAATTTGCTAAAACATGAAGTCGTCAAAGAAATTAATGTGAAATACAATGATTGGCATAAAATATTCACTGATGGAGCAAAGTCTACGGGTGGGTTAGGCGCAGCGTTTTGTGATTTAAGTAAAAATCATTTCGGTTGCTTTAAAATCAATTGTAATATGTCTATTATGTCAGCGGAATTAATTGCAATTTTAGAAGCATTGATATATATCTCATCTATCATAAATGTTAAGAAATGTGTAATTTTATCAGATTGTAAGAGCGGATTACAACACTTAATTTATTGTGCATCTGGAAAAAGAGGAATTCCTATTGCTTACAAAATTTTAGAACTCATTCATAAATTAAACCTAAGCAAAATTGATCTAATACTGCAATGGATTCCAGCACACGTTGGTTTACGGGGCAATGAAGAAGCAGATCGTTTAGCTAAACTGGGCATAGAGAAAGGTAGGGAACATCAGTCATTACCACATTTTACTGATTATATATCTAAATTCAAAAATCAATGTCAAAAAGATTGGAAAGAATATTTTAACGAAATTTCAAAAGAAAAAGGCATTTGGTACAAAACTATTCAGGCTGAACCACCACATATTCCTTGGTTTTGTGGAATTAAAATCAATAGGTACTGTATTAAATTAGCTGTTCGTTTACGTTCTGGTCATTATCCATCAAAAAAATTTGCACATATGATGGGAAAGTCCTTGTCACCCCATTGTCAAACTTGTAGTACCATCGATGATGTGCATCATATTCTATTAGAGTGTCGTATTAACACGAAGGAAAGAGAAGAATTCATGCGCCACTTTAACTTAAATAAGTTGAATGTTGGTCTTATTCAAACTATGTTAGCTGAACTTAAACCAGAAATTTTTGAACATCTCTGTAAATTATCGATGCCCATTAATTCTTCTCTTTCCGCGTCTAGGGAAGGTAGATAAAGTTTTGTTGGAGAAATCAGTTCAGGGTACAATAGGACTGATATACCTGAAGAAGGTAAAAGCCCTTAAAATATTAAAAAAAAAAAAAAAAAAAAAAAAATGTAAAAGTGAATCCGTTTCTTCATTTGTTACCTGTTCGCAACCTTACAGCTTAACCAATTACTATAAAATTTGGTATACACATACTAAATAAATATGAAAGAGTTTATTTATTACAGCTTGGAGAATGAATAGCTCAACCAATTTTTATTAAATTTGGCACCCACATTGTATGAATGAATGAATGAGTATACTTTATTTGCATTATACAATATAGGAAATAAACAAGACAATTTACAAACATACCGATACAATTGTATAAGTACAGTAAAGCTTGTAGTTAAGATGGAGAATGATATACTCATAGCCTACGTTATATTCTAGTGACGCAAGCAAAATCGTGATTAAAAATTAGTATCGAAATTTATTTTTTACAATCCACAAGGTCAAATGATGGATTTAGTATCGATACAATAAAACAACACTAAAAAATAATGAAAATTTGCTTACAAAATTTATAAATATATAAACTAAGTCCTTCTTTTGGAAGTAGTTTATAAATAAATGACCATTGCGTATTTTAGGTAGTGTTTAAGTAATCAGATATAAAACAGTTTACTAACGCCGATCCATCGTATTGCCCATGAATGCAGCCGGGATGGCAGATTGTTGGTACAAACGTAAGCACAAAATACCCATCTCAAAACCAAACTAACAATACGATATGCAATACTCAATATTATAATATACTCTAACCGACTATATTTACTTAACACGTCAATATCCTTGTTTTCTTATCTCACTCTGACATATATGTTATTATGTTTTCTCTCTTTTACATTGCCCATCCACATATATACTTTAAAATCTAAGTTTAAAATGTCTATAGCTACAAGACGATTTTAAAAAATATATAAAAGCTTATTTTTACAAATGTTTTAAAGAAACTTATTAAGAATAAGTACAGCATTGGTACATCTTAAGTTGCAGTCAGGTACAAAAAAAAGTAGCCCATACCCATAGCCATAAACTAACAGGGAAATAAACCGCAAAAAATTCAGGGTCTCACTACACAGGTACACTGATTTCCCTACTTTTGTTAGCTTGCTTTATGTCTTAACAATACACACGGGCATTTTGTGATCGGTTTTCAATAAATGCTTGTAAAAGGGCTTAAGGCTGCTTACCTTCTACCAGAACGCAGCTTTAGAGATGATTTAGACGTAGTTAACATTAACATAAAGATAGTATAAGATAAAAGAATATAATAATAATACCTACCGCTTTCTGAACATTCCCGGCTCAGTTCAGAAATGGAAGATGACGGTGTGCTTGATGACTGGTACTCATCCTGAGGATGTTTTCCATTCACACTTGATTGCGGAATGTTCAATAAAGGTACTGGAGGAATGGCCCCACTGAAATGGCAAAGAAAAATAACAATTCATGATATTAATAATATAAGTTGCTAGTATATTATATATGAATTTTAAGTTCATATACATATATACTAGCAACCCAACCCAGACTCGGAAGATTAATATGAGATTCTCAAAATTTTATGATGTTTCGGCCCATGTTTCTTTGTTAAAAATATTCAGATTTACTGGTAAAACCATCCTTAAAATTGTATATGTGCGATTAAATACCTAAGGGGAAGGGGGTTAATAACATATATTTCGAATTTTATATACCTCGTATGTAAGTCTGGAGGTGAGTTGGCATATACAGGCTGTACAGTTTCACGCGGTGGGCCTGTAAATAAAATGTATTAATACTCTAAAAACTAAAAATAGTAATTTTAGTCATAATTGATTAACAACTATTTGAATTAAAATTATAATTAAGAGAAAAAAATTATGGTAAATGTTTTAAAATTCAAGTCGCTTCATAATAATAAAATTTTACACTATCAAACAGAAAAGACATTTTAAAATAAATACAAAAAGTATCTCTACATGTATTTAAAACAAAAAAGCAGTTACAAATTCAGAAATAACCATGATAGGAATTTTAAGGCTAATAACATAGTTGTATATAGTTTTAATATTAAACAATCCATTTTAATGTTTATTGTTTAAATGAAAGGGTTTACATTCACAATTCTCTTCAACAAACTGTAAACGAAGTAGATAAAAAAAAAACTCTTACCTCCTGGAATACATTGTGGTCGCACTATATTTATATCTTTTAAGTGGCTCAATGTATGAGGTGGCAAAATACCAGTCCTAAAAAAATTTTCTTTCTCAAATGTGGTAGCATGTACGAAAAAACATAGGAGTCTTTTGCATTTTCCATTTGCAAAGTCGCGACAAAACTTGTAGACCCCATTGAGTTGGTCTAAATCTAATTCGTGAGCATAAATACAAGCTTCTCCCCTTTTACAACATCCTCTTACAAAGTCTTTACACATAATTTTCTTTCTTTTATTTGGTTTTAACTCCATTGAATATTCTTTCATATGCCCATTTTCTGTTTTTTCCTCCGAATTTAACTCATATGAGTCATCCTCGACTTCAGTTTTGAAAGTAAAGTTAGTGGGACTGTCTGGTGGTGGGGAATATGGTGGTAACGGTGGCTGTATGTTTGCCTTATTGCCATTTTCTGTAGTTTTATTAGAAGAAGACTCAGCAGTGCCATTTGATGCAGATGCTATCTTATCCTCCTCAAACTTTGATTTTAAATACTTCTTCATGTGTTTAAAATTTGGTGATGGCTTAAATTTTATATACTTAGCATCTCCTGATGACTTTTCCGAACCTGAATTAAAATAAAACCAGATGAATTATGAATTAAACTCAGATGCCAAGGATAACATATATACATATCGTGGAGTCAATAAATGAACACAGTTAAGTGACTTTCTCAGGTCTTTATTGTAACTATGGGCTATTAAAATTTTTTTTCTTATCAGATATAATTGAGAATTGACTTGTATTAATTTAAATTTAATAGGTTGGTGTAGTTTTCTAAAAAAAAACATTCATAAATGTGTGAATTTGCCCTATAGATAAATGGTGTACCCTAATTACTAATGTCTGACCGAACTTTCCGTTTCGGTTTCGGCCAGAAATTTCATTCAAAATAAGAAGAAAATTCTTTCTCAGTACTTACTAAAACATATATAGCAAGCAAAGTATCCTAAACTTGAAAAATGTCTAAAATATGGATAAAACAAGAACAGAATAAAAATAATCCTGTAAGCAGCCCTCTATTAATAAGGGCGGATTCGACCAAATGAGAACAAATTTTATTCTTAAAGTGCTAGTTATTCGAGAATAAATTAATTTTACGTTTTACCGATTACAATTCTAAGATTAAGGAATCTTATGCTATCAAATGCGTGTGGTGATTTCTATACGTAGGTACAATTAAGTACTAGTAATCTTATATTATAGTGGGCCTCCACTAAACTTAACAGTAACTCTCTCTCATGTTGTAGACAATTTGAACCAGTTTCCGTTTATCTTCAGCCATTTTCTTACAAAATAAGTACAAAAATGTAGATACACTACGTGGTTGTCAGTTGCATTGACAAAATGTCACTTGATATGTGGTCCCGGGATAGAATAGGCCCCCACTTCCTTTACCGTGTGCGTCGTAAGAGGTGACTGAGAGAACTACATGCCTGAGGAATGTAAGCAGCAGTGTACCATATCAACCATTAATTGTTTATTATTGAACATAAGCCCCACCCTATTGGCCCTTACAAGGCTATTAGCTACAATTATTATTGTTAAAACTTGTATCATAGCAATGCAATTGAAATATTGAATTAATTGTATCTATTAGAAGGAAGTTGGAACTCAGGTCTACTACCCAAATTTTGGGTTGATAGAAGATACTCTACTTAAACACTTAAAAACTAATAAATACAACAAAATCTCAAACTTTCTAATCTGTCCACAAATTAAGACTAAAATAAGTTAGTTTTTTTATGATAAACATTGTTGTTTGCTAACAAACAAGAGACCAGATTATAATTTACTCTTTCCAAGCTACTAACATAAGATTTATAGAAGTTTGCCGTGCTTTAAAACATATGATAGCAAAGAACATACATATTATAAATTCTACATTAAAAAGTTATAGAAAGTGGAAGAAAATTTCGTGTGTGTTGTATAAATACAATCAATTCAAAATAAAATTTCGATCAGCATTTGTACAACCCAAAATTTTATACATAAGGTTTTGAACTTAAGTATTTATAGATAGCCCAACGCAAGTAATACACATACTGTTAAATATTCCTAGCCTAAAAATAAAAGCCTACAAAAACAAAAAAGTATATTAAAAATATACATACTTGTTTCCTTTGACATGTTAATTTTTACTCAAAGCACTATTCAAAAGTCTTCTTGTAACTCGGAATTAAGTCTGATAAATAAAACGTCGTAGATATATAAATGACCGTCATAGCAAACGTAAGCGACCATTACATGAAAGCGTCAAAGATAGTGATGGGATTCGAGTTGCTTTTCACTCGAGTGACTCGAGTAGTTTTTATATTACTTGCACTCGAGTTAAATTTTTGACGACTCGAGTTTCGAGTGACTCGAGTCGACTCGAATTACAAGTGACTCGAATTGACTCGTACCACTCGAGTGGTTTTTACCGAGCCGAGTGAGAAATTCAAATTGTGACAAGTTTACCCGCGGTAGCAGGAAACTTTTAAGAGAGAAAATTCTTCTTGATGCTTATCATACCGCATGCACTATAATTGTAGATATTCTACATTTAGTTGAACATACGGCTGCTACAACAGATTTATGGACTTCTGACAATAATAAAGCATACCTAACTATTACAATACTTAGTTGAGGTTTTATTTATGTTACTTTTAAAAATAGAACTTATTTATTTTTCTTGTTATGTCAATGAGTATTTTGTTTATTAGAGAAAAGTCATTATTTTTAAAAACATCTATCTAATATATATCTTTATTCAGTATCTTATATTTTTATTGTTTTATCCAACGAACCCTTCACACTTATAATTCAAAACTTTTTTCGCAAACTATTACTACTAGAGAGGTTACGGAGAAACATTCTTCTATCATTTTAGCAAGTGTGCTGAAGTCGATATTATCGAAGCCGTTTGGTAGGGGAAAAATTGATCAATCCATTTTTTTAAAGTAGTTATTACACCAATCTCAGTTAAATTTGTTACCTCATTAAAAATATACATAAATTGTGTAAGAACATAATAAAACTATTCATATTTCGATTTCATGAAAGTTCCTTGTTAGAATAAATTAAATTGAATTAGAACTTATTAGTAGTAGATTATAATATTTTAATTTGACTGATAGTTGATACAAGAGGTTTCTTGATTATGTATGACAGGTTTAGTTTGAAGGAAAAATCTATTTTTTACATTTTGTTTAGATTTTTTTTTTTTTTTTTGAGAAAATGAATACACATTTTCTATGTAAAATTAAAACTGTTTTATTCGTTTTAAAATTTTGGTCACTCGAGTTTTATATTCCAAGTGACTCGAGTCAATAAAAATCGCTCGAGTTTTATCTTCACTCGAGTGGCATTCGAGTGAGTAACTTATCAGTACCGAGTGACTCGAGTGAAAAAAAATCACTCGAGTCCCATCACTAGTCAAAGAGTATATACTCAAGGGGAAAGAGAACGCACTTCATTCAAGCTACGTAAACCGACTTGGTCAAAAATATCTGACCAATCTACACAAAAATCTTCATTTTCCTGTTATGTTGGCCAGTCTGATGTTCAAAATGGAAACAAAATGTTATAATTATACTATAGTTTGACAGTTGAAACGGGCAAAAATATATTAATTTTATGACAAATTGCTACAGATGGGCAAAGCACCGGGTTTAAACCCGGTGCTTTGGTAAAAACCCAATAAACACCCATAAACTCCCATAATCACCCAAAAAAATAGGTTTTTACGTATTTTTTTGAAAATATGTAAGTAATACCAATAAATTATTTTTATAAATTGTATTGATCAATTCTACAATATTAAATAAAACGTTAACTAATAATATTTCAGGAAATTTTAAAAATCTATATATAATAAAATGAAAGTAATTAATTTTCAGTGTTTTCATGTTGCAGTTGATCAACATGTTGGCCTTTTGCTTCCCGTAGATACTTTAAAATTTCTTCATAACACCTCGTTCGCACACATGGCCGTATATATTTAAATTCTTGAGCCACTAACAGTCCGAAATACTCATTTCTTTTATCCTCTTCTCCATAAATTAAGCATTTAGAACAGTTTGTTTCTTCTTTCAGTAAATTTTCTTTTACTTTATCCTCGTTTTTTTTCTTTGTTGCGACGACGCTGGGTAAATCATCTGGACACTGGGTCTCACTATCGCCAAATATATTTGGAGATCGGCTTCGGCTACGGCTTGGCAGACATTTTTTTCTTTCTACAATTTTAAATTAAATTTATTAGAATAAATGCTTCGAACACACGCGATCTAAGTACCTTTTGTGTTTATTATACCTTACCTACCTAGGTATAAAAAGAGTACTTACGTAGATTTTCTTTTATTAACTGTTTTATACGAAGATCTTGATCTCTCAAATTAGCATCCATTTTACTTCCAGTGATTATCAACTAAATTAATAATCCACAAAGTATTAAATAACGTTTTTATGAAATATTTAGCACAAAAACAATACCCTTTAAATATCGATCGTCAGTAACTGTGGCTGACTTACCTATATTCTAGCAAGCAGGACTGCCAGATGTGAAGGGGAAATCCCCAATAAATTGTTGCATGTGACTGATGATGTGAGCATGTTCGTTTCATAATAAAAATGTTGCCAGGTAACCAAAAAGTCGTATGTTTTTGTGCGAATTACGATCATAATCTTTACGATCGTACATTAAAAAATAGACAAATAATAGTATGAGTACGATTTAAATCGTATATCTCTCAACCCTGCTAGCAAGACAGCGACAAAATCACGTTGCATAACAATGTAGCCCAAGCTTATATCTTATGAAATATACGGAAGAGATACGGACTTAGAAAAAACAGAAATGTTGTTCTTTGTGGAAGTCATTGATGAAATTCTATGTATTTTAGCCCGCAAACTTTCTTCAAACAAAAACAGCGCCATCTAGTATCGAGTTCTGTAATTATCTCTTTGTTTATGGATTTGAAGTAAGACCGCCACGCATGCAATACATTATGACTGGGGATTCCCCTATTCGTCGACGCTGAATATGAGGCGACGACAATCACTGTCAAACGTGTTCACTATTACTCTGACTCTGGTAACGTGACTTCCTGGTAACGTGTTAGGTAGGAAAAGCAGTAAAAAAGTGCATATTAAGGGAGCAGATTTGAAATAATATTTATACTTAACAAGAAATAATTAAAGGTAAGTGGATTTTTGAATGATACAATTATATCATGATCACTTAACAATTTTAACTTAAAATTAGATGTATTATTACAAGCTTTTATTTAGCTTGCGTTATGTAAATAAAAGTATGTAGGTATGTTCGTATGTTGATGCAATTATCCTCAATCCTCAACCGACTGGGATAAAATTTTCCATACACGTTTATTTTGGATGATAGTGCATAGTTAGCTGAGAGTCGTCATTGGATAATAATGGTGGATAGCCTAAGATGTGTACTAGATATTTATTTTTAACATAATATGCGTAAGTACCTAATCGAATTAAAGAAGTTGCTGAGAAAAATACAGAACAATACGATAATAAACTAGCGTCTGCGTTTAATCCTCCGAGGAGATGTAATTTTACAAAGGTTTTTTGTATTTATTTTATTATTTTTTTAATAAATTTATTGTAAATAACAAGAAATAATCATTGTAAAAAAATAGGCACTCTATTGTTGAATTTTCGTCAGACCAACTAATCATCGTTCATTTTTTTAGGTTCAATGGGGAGACCTAAAGATTTACGCATATGGGAGCACTACCGTACTTTACCAAACAAGTCTGTTTCTTGCAAGCTTTGTAATAAGGTCTACAAATTCAGTAATGCTGCCAAAATGCTTCAACATCTTATCACTTGTCCAAAATCTCCAGAAACATTAAAAGACTCTATGAAACTTATAAAAGATAGCTCGTCCAAAACCAAAATGTCTGGACTGTCAGAGATAGAGACAAATGATTCTTTTATAAGCCCCTCGTCGTCTGCTAACACTACAATAAATGCTGAGTTTCAAGACACCGATGATCATATAAAAACAGAATTAGCGAGAGCTATATTTGTAACAGGGACGCCATTATCGATGGTGCAACATCCTTTATGGATACAATTTTTCGAAAAATTGCAACCAAAATTTAAAATACCTTCACGTAAAGCTTTAGCGACAAAATACTTAGATAAAATATATAGAGAAATGCGTTTTGAGTTAAATGAGGAACTAAATGCTTGTAGTTACTTACACCTTCAGTGCGATGGCTGGTCTAATTTAAGAAATGAAGGAATAATAAACTTTCTTATATCAAAACCTCAACCTGCATACGTTAAAAGTTTGAATACAGAAAGTAATCCTCACACTAGTGAATACCTTAGCCAAGAAGTTGAAAAGGTAATGAAAGTGTATGGAGCAAATAAGTTTCTTGTACTTATTAGCGATAACGCTAGAAATATACAAAAGGCATTCGAATTAACAAAACTCAAATATCCACATGTTGTTCCTCTCGGTTGCTGTGCACATATCCTTAACTTGTTGTGCCAAGATATTGTAAAGATACAAGAAGTAACTGTGTTTATTATGCAAGCCATAAATATAATAAAAACTGTTAAAAGGAGTCAACGATTAAGTTCCTTGTTGATAAAATCAAGGCAGGGTGAAGATTCTACACAAACACTAAAATTGCCTTGTGCTACAAGATGGGGAAGTCATGTTACTTCGTTAAAAAGTTTGAAAGCAAATAAGATAGCTTTGCAAATATTAACAGTTAGAGAAGATGTGGTAATTTCAAGAGATATTAAAGATTTAATTCTAAGTGATGATTTCTGGACGAAGACAGGGGAATGTATAAGTATTTTGGAACCAGTCACTGAAAGCATATTTTACTTAGAGAGCGACCAGAATCGTTTGCATCGCACATACATTACATTTAGAGATGTACAAGCTAAGATACGTTTTGCATTAAATGAGATTTCGACATTGAGCGAAGAAAGCAAACAGCAGATTCTAACATCAGTATCTTCAAGATGCAATATGGCAATGAGGCCAATACATTTTGCAGCATATATTCTAGACCCCAGGACTCTAGGAGTCGAACTTACTCAAGAGGAAGAACTTAAGGGTATGGAGTTTATCTACAATTTAAGCCAACACTTAAGTTTGTCAAATGTAATGGCAGATTTGGCGTGTTATAAAGCTAAAGAAAACTTTTGGGCCAGAGGATTTGTATGGAGCTCATTAGATAGCATTGAGCCCCTAATATGGTGGAAAGGTATTTGTGGTTCCACTGAGTTAAGCAAAGTAGCGATTCGTATTCTATCAGCTCCCTGTACTTCGGCAGCCACTGAGCGTTCCTTTAGTATCCAAGGCTACATACATAATAACAAAAGAAATCGACTTACAACTGAAAGAACTGAAAAAATTTCATTCATTTGTTATAACTGGAATCTTAAACATAAAGCTGAATGCGAGGACATTCAGTTTAATGAAGAAAATACCTTAGAAGCTTTCATTGAGCAAGTAAATGAACATAACAGTTTAGACGAAATAGAGCCTATCGAACCTATACAATTCATCGCTTGTAATAACTCTGAATCTGACAGTGATTGACTGTAGTTTTACATTTTACTTTCATCTCTTTCTTAATAAACTCAAAATCAAATTAAAAGTTTTTTATTCTGTAGGCTGCATAATAATATTGTCTATGTCCAGTATAGTGGACGTCTTGCGGCTGAGATGACGATGATGAAGTACAAAATCATAAACACCCAAAAATTTGGGTGTTTATGGGGTTTAAACCCAATAAACCCAAAACACCCGGTTTTTACCCACCAGACTTTAAACCCACCCAGGTGGATTGCCCATCTCTAATTCCACCAAAATAAAGCACTCCACTTCTGAAATAAAATGGTCTCTTTACTTTTTTCTAATAATCTTAGCCTATTAAGTCTATATGGACGATATTTTATTTACCAGATCAGACTCTGTTACTCGTGGCAATAAAACTTTTGAATAGTACTTTGAGTAACAGTTAATATTTTAAAGGAGACAAGTATGTATATTTTTAATATACTTTGTTACTTTTTAGGCTTTTATTTTTTAACTAAGAATATTTAATGTTGTGTGTATTCTTTGCTTTGGGCTATTTATAAATTCATAATTTTTGTTCCGACTGAATTTTAATTGTATATTAGACTACACAAACAAAATTAATAAATATATCCTTTTCTATTACATATCTTAAAGCATAATAAACTTCTATATAATTTATGTTGGCTTCTTTTGGTACCATTGGCATCACAGTGGACTTTGTGATGTCTGCGGTGCTGAATGTCTCGCCTATGTTTACCACTTTCTATTAGGTGGACCATCAGTGTTTGCTATTCGAAGAATCACAAAAAGAAACTCAAATTTATTTACAGTTTTTTTTTGTAGTATGTTTGCAGTGTCTTCAATAACACAGCTTTGTAAATTGTACATTTAATTCCAGTGGCTCCCACAGTAATCTTTGATGATGAAAACATTAATCCTGTACCAGAAGAATGTCTCACTTCTGAAGTTTATAAAATAAGGTACAGTAAGACCCCACTTAATGCTGTTTTGGTTTAGTGCTCTTTTGTTTCTACCTGGGGATTCCTGAAATTGTTGCAGCTCTAGGTTTCTAAATATGTACATAACATATCGGAAACAGTGTAGTTGCGTTTCTTGTTTGGTGCTACACAAAAATATTGATAGTAGTGATATCAAAGAAGAGCAAAAATAATTTTTGATGGCATTTGCAGAAAGGAGTTTGACCACTTTAATTGAGATTATGTACCAACTTGTGAAAATAATCAAAATTTTGACAATTCAAAAGCTAGACACGGTGTTGTAGATGCTTCATCCACTTATTAACAACTTCTAACAGCCTTCTAACTTCTAGGAATGTCTTGCTATAAATAAAGGTTACAAACGAAAAAGACGAACTGTGTTTAGAAAAATGTTTTTAAGTGTTAAAATAAAATTGTTTTTTAATCGTGACGTCTGCCAAAATAAACTAATTCATATCTCTCGAGAAAGATAAAATGTAAAAGCATCAAAATTAAATTTTTTCTAAAAATACCTATGCTGTTGTATGATGACTGTTCTGTACCAAAGATTAAAGAACATACTAAAGATTTCTAAGAAAAACTATACAATATAATATTGTAATATCATAATACGTTACTTTGTTATATATTTATACAGTAATATGTTATAGTTATCTGTTAGTATATAGATAGAGTTGGCCATGTGGTTCCGGTATAGAATAGGCCACCCCTTCCTTTCCCATGGGTGTCATAAAAGCCGACTAAAGAGAGCAGGGGATGGGCAAAAGCGTCCCTCTTAAAACATCTCTAAAGCCTGACTGTGGTTGCTAATCCGCCTACCAAGCGTGGCAACTATTGGCGAAACCTCCCCAAGGGGTAGGCTTATGTTCAGTAGTGCTATTCTCTAAGCAAACAGCCTAGACATCAGCCTTGACGCAGCGATGAAATATTGAAATGGTATTCACTAATTCTTAAGACGCGACACTAGCGCCCAAAGACGAGCTCAAAGACGAGCGGCATAAACGGGAACTACTCAAGGCTGTGCGATTTGACATTTTGCCATAGTATTTGGTATTCACTAACAAAAATCAGCCTCGCCTTCGCCGACAGCCTAGCCTACAGCCTCGATTTCTTATGTCAAACTCAAAAGCTTTGTTTTCTACGCTGTTTGCATAGTATTCATCTAATATATTTATTTGTTTCTTGAATTCTGTGATTATTAATTGTATTGAAATTATCAATTTGTGTTTAAAAACGATTGCTGCCCGTTTATGTGTAATGACCCATTTGTTGAAAGAAGCTAAAATAGAAAATGATTGTAAGAAATGCCGACAATCAACAACTTTATGTGATGTGGATTATATTCATCATTACCGACTTTCTGAAGAATTAATCAATATGTTAGAAAAAGAATTGTCACCATGTATGCCTGTTCCAGAGAGTTGTTAAAGCTAAAGGTTTGTAACTTAAATTTTATTAATTGATGGTATTAGGTACATAAATAAATTTAAAGCAGGAAAAAGAATACTTTGCAGTGATTGTGTGCACTTGTTTATTTTATTGAGACAAGCTTAATTGTGTCAGCAGATGTTTGTGTAGGGAACAACTAGCTAGTTAATAATGGTGTGTAACAAGTATTCTAGTATGCATAATAATACTTCTGGTGTTACAAATATTCATGGATCATGGTAACCGTTTCCCATTAGGTGATCCATAAGCTTAGTGGCCTCTGGTTTTGTATAAAAATAACTATGTCTAATATGTTAGAAAGAAACCAACTTAGTTAAACATGTAGTAAATTATTAATTCATGTCAATTAATTTTTGTTAAATTAGACCACTAAATTTAGCATTCAGGTTGAAACTATTATAAAAAATTGTTTCAAAATCATAGTTTTAAAAAACATGACACACATAAATTCAGGATTGGCTATGTGGCTAATTAAAAATAATTAACATTACTTGTTTTTTTTCAGGTGATTTTGAAACTCATTTAGTAGCATGACACAAACCCTTGGACAGCCACAATAATAGTAGTGTATTGCTGTATTGTTTGTGATATGCTGATAATATGATGCAGTTACATCATCTATACAAAATGAAGAAGCACAAAAGAAAATTTTGTAGTCTGAAAATAAGCTAGCTATACTTTTTGTACTTATATCTTAAAACTATTTTCAAATACTTTTTTATTGTTACATTTTTGTCTACCTGTGAATTAAAATTAATATTATATTATGTTGTAAATGTATATTTTAATTTAAAATTATTATAATTAATTCATATTATAACTAGTATGGAGTAAGAAATTAAAAAAAATATTCATTAAAAATTATTTATTTGAAATTGAAACAAGTTTATAATTATAAAATTTTATTGTAATTGTGTTTTTATTTGAAAATTATATAAGATGAAACTTATATTTCAAAATTACTAATGACTATTAAATGACATAATTTAATCTTATATTTTCAATAATGAACTTGATTTAACTAATAATTCCAATAACTCTTGTTATGTTTGGCAGTGTATATTTTTAGAAATGTATTATTGTAAAATCTATTAGTATTTTAAAAACCAAAATTGAGGTTTCTCCCCTTCTTCACAATGGATGGTAGAATCATAAAGAATTACCATTTATAATATTTTAAATTTAATTGAATAAAAATTATTTGACATTTTTTTAAAAAAATTTTAATTAAATCGTACAATGGCTGACTTTAATTTAGTCATATCTCATTCATTAGCTATAAGATATGAACTAGTGTTGTCTGATTCTCTATCAAAATTTGTTCTGTCTCTACTCGGTGCTCTTCAGTGGCAACAAATCTTTGTGAGACTACTCTCTTTCTAGTTGAGGCTGCTATTGTGAAGGAGATAAGTGTCATCGGGATACTGTCAGTCAAATGACGGCGTGGACCTAAAAATAACAATAAGACCAATTAGACACATAATTCTAAAATTATAAATTAGTTATTTATTTAAGATACTCCACAAAAATATAATTAATCCTTTTTTCTGTTCGTGTATGTCCTGTCACAAGCCATGTCTGATTCTTTATATAATCCATCAGCATCTCCGACTACTTTGCGAAGGGACCTCATTTCATGGCATATTACGAGATATGCATTTATTTTAGTTACTAAAAATATAACCTTAAAAACAATACAAGTAAATAAAAAGCACATTTTACTTACGTATTTGATAGATACATCCAAACTTATAAAAAGTTGGTAAAGTTACGTTAATTTTATTAATTATTTTTAAAAGAGAATAAACAAATACAAAAAGTGCGCCTCTGGAATGTTAAGTACAAGGAATATAATACTCTTTACGTACCTACGTATAAGTGTTATTTGTTTATTTTACGGCAATGGAAGCAAGGGTATTCAAACAAATCTTAACTTTAAAAAACAAAATCAAATGTTTGATGTATAAATTTATGTTTATTTTATATAATATTTATTTAAATAACATTCTAAACTGAATAAAACATTCCATTTGTCAATAAAATATTATATTTCTACAGTTATCGGTTTCATTTTACGGTTTTTGTTGCAAGCCCTATCTCGTCCGTGCGCACAGCCTCGAGTTATCACAGCCTACAGTTCGTCGATGAGGTTTGACACGTTAGTGAATACCAATTACCGCAGCGCTGTAGCCACGGTCGTTCGCAAGGCTGATCAGCCTAGAGCTCGTCGGCGGGCGCAGCGTTGCGGTAGATTTTTAGTGAATAGCATTGCAGCAGTGGACAGTTAAAGGCTGAAGGATTTTAATGGAATTTAAGGTCTGTTAATATTTAAGAAGTAACAGAATCGTTTAATAGTATCAGATGGTGAGATAAACAACAGTTAGCAACTTATAACTAACCAAAAGAACACTAACGGTACACCAAAAAATAAGTAAAGAAATATGAAGGTCCCAACCTGGTTGATCTCCATGGGACGGCGGACCAATATGCCTCTGAATTTACAAATATAATAAATAAAATAATTCGAGTTTATCTCACACTTGTCCGGGTTTTTTTTTTTTTATACAATCTGTATATTTATGAACTCATATTGGTAAATGCTAAAATGTGTAACATATATGCCAATGTAATATATAATTATTGAACGTGTATGACATTACTTTACTGTATTTATATTTATCTAATTTGTTACATAAACGTACGATTATGTAACAAATTAGATGTTGTCGATTGATAATGCAAATAATTACGTATTTGTTTGCACTATTATTTTTCAGTTAACAAAATGCGTTTGACGAAAATATTGCTAAGTTATTAAAAGAGAAAAATTGGCTCACTGCAGTACTAAATCATGTTGCCGGGTTCAGACACCTACAACAATACTGACACGAATGCTTGAATTTCCACCAGAGTGATAATAAAAATTATTTGTATTATTTTTATCCATACTAAGGGTTAGGTTAGTAGGTTTCTTGACAGTCTGCGGGGAAAGCATTTTATGATTTGCAAATGTTTATTCTATTGCTTATGATACTGATATATACTCGTATTATATGCGATACGATGGAGAAGGGATGTTTTGTACGATGTATTGATTGACAGAATTTATAACTGCTGTTTTAAATATATGAATACAAACTTTTTGGAGTTATTTTATAATGTATTCTGTTGGATAGTTTTAAATTTTATACACAATACATCACATCACATTAGAAACCTTTAAAATTATCAGTGTTTCTATACTATATTATGCATGTATTATACATATAAACCTTCCTCTTGAATTACTCTATCTATTAAAAAACCGCTTCAAAATCCGTTGCGTACTTTTAAAGATTTAAGCATACATAGGGACGGACAGACAGCGACTTTGTTTTATACTATGTAGTGATACTAGCATAAGAATAATTTATTAATAGGATACTAGTTTATAATTGTTTATAATAAAAAAATAGCCATAGTATTATATAAAAATATTGTTGAGTAGGTATTCGTATTATCATGCTATGTTACGGAAGCGTTTTCACAATTTCTTAATATTTCTTAAATGGCTTTGGAAAATATTTACAATTTTTTTTTATAAAGTCAGATCAAATAATCTTAACATAGAGGATTTTGTACAAATTTAATCACAGAACATACATTATTATTACTCCATAAAAATTCTATTATTACTCATTACAACAATTATAGGTCATATTTTCTCTAAAAAATCTTTTAATAATCTTGATTACATTGTTAATAAATTTTGATGCACAAAGCTGTATCACAAAAAGAAACAAACTTATATACAGCTCACCTATCGTAGAATACTTATTGTCAGCTTCTTTATTGACAGTTTCACAAGTATAAATTGTTCATTTAATTTCAGAAGCTGCCCCCATAGAGTTTGTTAGACAATTTAAACCATAGCAATGTCTACGTTGTGGAATTTGTAAAATAAGGTATTTCAAATTCTTTATTCGATTTTTAATTATATTGTTTGTTTCAATAGAACATAATGACAATATAAACAAAGGAATAGTTGAACCTACAATATCACAGTTTGCTGAAGTCCGTCAGTTTTCACAATTCTTGATTATATTTTTATACTACTAAAGTATTATAGTCTACTAAAGTATTTAGTATATTTTTTATTAATTTAATTACATATTATACAGACTGTAAGGGACATGCTGGCAAAAACTGAAACTGAAATCAGATCATTATTCCGAACTGAAAACCAATGGAAATTCTTATGTAATCTATGATATTTTATCATAATATAAAGAAATAATAATATTTTTAGTGAAATACCAAAAAAAAGCAATGTATTATTCGTATTAAAATTCTACACCGAGATTCACGGAATCAGAGGGCCTACCATGAAATATTTTTCGAAATTTCGGGGACTAACGAAATAGAAATTTGATGTTAAAATTACATAATACATGCCGTTTAAAATTTTAAAAATGTTAAAATATCGTTCCTCTGGACTGTTACGATAGGATTTATGATGAATGAAATGTTAAGCTCCATTTACTGGGTCTATTTCGTAACGAACAAAAACACGAAATTGAGTCCGAAAATTCGGAATATCATTTCATGGTAGACCACCAGCTGTTTGAGATCAACGCCACAGACGTACGAAAAATACTGAAGGAGAAGCGGCCATTGTGGGTATTCATCTGAATCACCTGTTTTCGTTATGGCCAACCTGTCCCTTCCACCCTGTAGATTGATTAAGAGATTGATATGTTGAGTATAAGAATAATATAAATAAGTGAATTTTGTTTTATATTGTGTAATAATGTGTTTTTATATAATAGTTATATGTATGTGTTGAATTATATGTGTATTAATTATTACATCGCATAAAAATTTAAATAAAAATATGTGGTTTCATTTCATTCTTTCATCCCAATTTATTGAATCCCAATCTTTAATTATTATATTGTATATAATACTTGAATTATACATATTGCTGGTCACATAATTAACATAAGAGTGAACTGTATAATAATTTGGTAATAATTTTTACATTAAAAATAATTCCACTGTGTCTGGGAGGCAGTAGGGAGTAAAACAATATCTACCGGACTAGTATTTTGTAACGTTTGAATAGAAAAAGGAAGTAATATTACCGCCAAGATAACAACTTACCTACCCGTATATTGCCAACACCTAACATTGTATACGGGGGGGGGGGGGAGGGATTGTTAGTAATGGTGACTGCCAGTCCCATAGCAATAAACCCTGCCATGTCGATCTCCCCGTGGAAATCTCCTCCCCTGGATACTATCGTGTTAAATGCCAGGTGTATCTATCACGATGGGCTACTAACTGGTCTACCTTTTCATTCTCATCTATCATCCATCACTGGTGCTCCGCCAGCGTATACCGTTAGCGCAGGCGGGGTTACCATTCTATTATTATCCACTAAAAACATTGCATACGATCCTTATTGATAACTACTAGCCGAGTTTTGCATGCCTGCCTGCCTAAATAAGGTACGAACGAACCATGAATGAAAAATTTGTCCATGATAATGAAACTATCGATAAAATCGCTTCGGTCAGCGTCCATATGAGAAGGAACAGGACAGCGCATGTTAATGTGGATTAACAATTCTGTCAATAAATTACTTTGTCTAGGGGGGCTGTTTATAATATAAGATGAAAATGGTATCTCTGTGTAAATTATATATTTTTATTATATTATAATATAATAAAAATATATAATTTATTCAAACAAATGTAATAATAAGTATGAATAGTGATTTTTTTATGAATCTACCGCCCAGTTCGGACTGCAATTTCAGCTGAGAAGAACAGGCAAAAATATAGCTGTTGATTTTTTCAAATAAGTCTCTATCACAAACTTCGTATTGATAAAAAGAAAAAAATATATAATTAAAAAGCTACCAAGCTACAATCAATGTGTTCTTGAACAGACCAGTCACTACTTGAAGCACCATGGATGAACCAGTCATCATTGTGTTTAACTATAACCTAGGGAGCCTAACGAACCGGCCAACGACGACGCCGACACCAGCGTGGTGGGCATTCAATAGACCCTTTCATTACAAAATTAAAATGTTAATTTTATAATTAATTTAATAACTTTGTGAATTTTTTCAAATACTATACAGATCAGTTAAATAACAAAAAAATCATCATTTTAAAAGATAAATAATTTAAATTTGTATCTCCTGTCACTGAACAATCTTCAATTTTACTTACTAGTAGAACAACGATGAGCTTTTTTTTTCAAAATTCTTAAGGATGGTTCTTCTTATGCAGTTGGATATCGTTTTCAAACCATAATCGTTTTCAAGTCTATGTCTTTATAAGAAAACTAGTTGACCCCGTAAACGTTGTTTTACCACTTATTGCGAAATATAAAAGTCGCGATTAAAATACAGATTTTAATCGCGACTTTTATATTTCGCAATTATTTTTATTGATTACAGGTTGATCGTAAAACGATGAAAATTTAAAGTATCAATGCTAAATTATAATAAAATAAAAATAAAAAAATTGTCAAAAAAATTAAAAAAAATATTTTGGGGTGGGTCACCGTTATCACTTACGGGTATTAAAAATAGATGTTAGCCGATTCTCAGATCTACCCAATATGCACACAAAATTTCATAAATATCGGTAAAGCCGTTTCGGAGGACTTTGGTAACAAACACCGTGACACGAGAATTTTATATATAAGATACATCAGTTTAATCAGCATTAAAATGTTATTTTTGGATTATATTTATCTATCTCAGTATTTTTTTTTTATTTTGTTTAGGACATGAGTTGCGCCTGTTAATTGGTACTTGAGTATCAATTTACATAAATAGTAAATTGTATAACATAAAAATCCAA